ACAGTGACAACAATCAAACAAATAAACATGTTTTTACTCACTCCACTTGACATACAGGATTACTAATGATCACTATTCTAGATAGAGTCTAAGGTCAAAAGAAAAAATGATGTTTAGAATGGAAAAGAATATATTAACAAAAGAAACTCCTCAGAAACAAACTTCTTTGGAATAGTCATCTGTTCATTTCTTAAACATTTTTTGAGTGGTTCCTATGTGTCAGTTATTGAGAATAAAAAAGTGTGTAAGACACAAGCCACAGCATTAGGGACTCCCAGAATAGTGAGTTTTATACTTAAAAAGAAAGTACAGAAAGTACAGTGAAGGTGACTTATGAGGTCAACCTTAAAGGAAAAGTAGGGTTTTCCCACAAAGGAGAGAAGCAATAGGCATTCTTGGGGGTGGGGGGGAGGGAGAGGGGGAAAAGGAGGTAGACTAGCACAGAGCTAAGACAGTATATGGCATGTTGTGGAGGCAGCCATTGTGTGTGATTGAAGTATTGGTGATAACCAGGGAAGTATTGGAGTCAATGTTTGAAAAACAGGTTGAGGCTTTGTGATGGACCTTTTAAGATATACTAAGGACAGTAAGTTTTATTTTGAAGGGAGTCATGAACCACTAAAGATTTTTAAGTAGGGGAGCAATTAATTGAAGTCTATAGTTTTTAGAAAATGGGTATGTTGGTTTCAGCAAGATGTGTGTGTAGTGGTGGGGTGAGGGTGTGGATGGACCTTAGAGACAGGAGAACAACTAGAATACCATATAATAGCCAAGTTAAATGATGAAGACCTGAAGTAGAGCAACTGCAGAGAGAATGGAAAGCATGGGATTTAAGATGATTTTTAAAATGTCTTAATACTGGATATAGGCCAAGAGAAAGCAGAAAGAGTCAAAATCAGCCTCTGAGAGTGAAGGATGCTTGTGGGGTGGATTCGAGATTAAAGAAATTGCCAAGGAAAGGGGTCAGCTCGGGACAAATAATACTGCACAGCCATCAAAAAGAATGTGTTCATGTCCTTTGCAGGGACATGGATGAAGCTGGAAACCATCATTCTCAGCAAACTAACACAGGAACAGAAAACCGAACACCACATGTTCTCATTCATAAGTGGGAGTTGAACAACAAGAATATATGGGCACAGGGAGGGGAACATCACACACTTAAGCTTGTCGGGAAGTTTGGGGCTAGGGAAGGGATAGCATTAGGAGAAATACCTAATGTAGATGACAGATTGACGGGTGCAGTAAACCACCATGGCACATGTTTACCTATGTAACACATCTGCACGTTCTGCACATGTATCCCACAACTTCGGTATAATAAAAAAAGAACTTTTAAGTGGTGTTGACAGCTCAAATAAAGTCAGAAAACACGAATCTTTCAATCAGCATGTATATGCAATTTTCTCCAAAAAGTCTAAATATATCAGGTCACAACTAAAAAATAAAATCAGAAAAATTATCTGAAATCATTAATGATATCGGCAAACTTTGATATCTTCTCTAGAATGAAAAGTGTAAAAAAAAAACAACAACAACAACTATAATAGCAGTAGGATGAATTTCCATTTCTGGTAACAGTAATGAGAGAATTTAGATTGATATACCCGATGTAGTAAGATATTTGAGATATAAAAACAGTAAAGACACTGGGCATGGTGGCTCATGCCTGTAATCCCAACACTTTGGGAAGCTGAGGCAGGTGGATCACTTGAGGCCAGGAGTTCTAGAGGAGCCTGGCCAACATGTTGAAAACCCGACTCTACTAAAACTACAAAAATTAGCCAAGCATGGTGGCATGCGCCTGTAATCCCAGCTACTTGGGAGGCCAAGGCACGAGAATCGCTTGAACCCAAGAGGCAGAGGTTGCAGTGAGCGGAGATCAATTGCGTCATGTCACTGCACTCCAGCCTGGGCAACAGAGTAAAAACAAAACAAAACAAAACCAAAAACCAACTACAAACAAAAAACAGCAAAGAGCCTTTAATAAGTTGGTGAAGATTTGGCACATGAAAACTTAGGAGAAGATCAGAAATCGGAGAGGTGAGGTCACTTTTAAAAGCTCTTGGGCATATGACTATCAGGAAAAAAGATCTGAGAATCCAGCTTTGTATTTCAAGTAGCTGTCTGTGCTTCATAGAAAAGTCAAAGTCCTTGGCCCTCAGGTGGGGCTTTATGCTGGTGTCATGAAAGGTCATACTCTCCTTTAGGGGAGGAGTGAACCTGCCATTCCTCTCACTGATTTGCAGCCTTCTTGTCACAGAGGTGATTCAGGGAACATCAGGAGCTGTACTTTGTCTAAGACGATTCTGGTCTGATATCGCCCCCAGGTGCCTGGCAGAAGCAAACCAAAGTCTTCTCTGGAGGAAAACATTATCACATAGGTCTCAACTTAACTCTTACGATCTTTAATTATAATGTAATTTTAAAAATACATTTCCAGCAAAGAGTCAAAGATATCCAAGCAACCAAGAAATTAAGACATCATGAATGAGAACTAGTAGGAACAGTAATAATAGAAACAAATTCAGTAACACTTGAGATATTATAATTATCAGAAATATATTATAAAACTACACTTAGGATGTTCAAAGGAATAAAAGCCAAGATTGACAATTTTATACAAGAATTAGAAACTATAAAAGTGATATAATAGTAGCAGAGAAATATTTGTGTCTTTATCTGTCAACACTATTTGGCCACACAGTTTAAAATTCTTCATTTTTACATTTTGTATTCTCTGTGTGTGTGTGTATGTGTGTGTGTGTGTGTTTTTGTGACACACTGAAAAAAAACCCCAAATCCCACACTGATAAACCTAACATATTTTCATTTATTTTATAATTCAATCAAACACATATTAGTTACATAAATGGCATGCCCACATGTGTTTGTGTGTGTACCCGAGTGTATGGTAAGCACCCAGGTGCATGCATTCACAAACTTCTTGGAAGCACGTGTGATTTCTGCCAGGTTCATTCGTATCGTCAACCATTCAGTACACAATTGGTAATGCAATGTCACAAGGCATCCAATGTGACCACAGAAAATTTACAAAGTTAACACCTGGTCATGGGGAAATGAAAATTAACCACAATTGGCAATTGTTTGCAATCTAAAGGGGTTAATTGTATTACCCAAGGTTAACTATCATTTAACAAATTGTCTAAACTGTCACAAGGTCAGATATTTATACTGAAAAGCAAATATTACTGGTGGACTTAGTACACTGACTTTAAAACTCTCTTAAGTCAGATTCTTTCTTGAGTATAGGTCTTGCTTGACAAGAAAAGTGGGGGCTGAGTAGTCATATTCATCAGAGGTCTGGAGGGAGAAGGAGGACTGAGAGGGAGGGAAAATTGGACAGAGAAAGGAGGAAAGGGGCATCAAAACTGAGCTCTGCCAACTTCACATTTGTTTGGCCTTACTAGATTACTCAGTAGTTGTAAAATCAAATGACTTTATCAATATAATGACCAGTTTTCATTTTAGAAGAGTAACACAGTATATTACTATTCTCATCCAAGTTGAATGAAAAATCCATAATAAGCCCTTCATTGTTTGTACCTAGTTTAGCCAACTTAGCTCATTAGAATCTGGTCTATTTGACAAGACAAAAAACTGGCCAGTTACATTTAACAACTGTTCATCTGTGCACTCTGTAATAACAGCGTCAGCAGATTTATTTTCCCCATATAAAGTAGAATTTCCAATTCACACCATGTACTCTGTGACTATTATGGACAGTATTTATTCAGAAGGAATGCTGTGCAAGTTTGGAAAAGCTGTCTCTAAGAGCAGAGGGAGAGGTCATTTGACAAAACAAGACACAAAACCTATACATGGGCAAAACATGAAGAGAACTAAAGTTTGTCATTCTTTTCAAGAAGAAGTTTGAAATCCTAGAACAGTGCGACAACAGCAATATCAGACAACCCTTCCTCTCCCTCGTCTTCTCTCAAGCTCTGTAAAATCAGAATGCCTCCATTCACTTAGCAAATATCAGCTTTTCTTTTTCTTTTGAAGGAGGGGAACCTGCTTGGAATTAATAAGACAACACTAAAAAATAACTTCTATTAATTCTTCTCTTTCTGAAAACTGCCTATTTTTTCTCAGTTGCTTTTTAACAAGTAGAATATCTTCTAAAGGCTCCTTATGCAGTTTTAGGCCACCTTTAAGAGCACCTTTCCTCTCCTTTTTCCTTCTTTTTTTGTTTCTCAAATTGGGAAGTGACTTAGTACCATGCAGGGGAAACTGAACTCCATCTCACAATAATATACTTTCATCCAATGGGATAATAGACATACTAACACCCAGTCTGTGTTGTAACATAAAACTACTGAGATTGTAACTCAGTAAACTCATAGTGCATAGAGAAGAATACAGGAAAAAACAAATAAGGATAAAGTCGAAACTGAAGTTACAGACCTGCAATGTAAATTTCAAAACTAAGCTAAAATCCTTTTTCTGCTGCACAAAATGTAAAATACCAACTATCTTAAGAAAGATAAGCAAGCTACAACAGTGAAAAATCTTTACTATCACCTTTTCATTCACACCGATAAAAAGAAAAATTCAACATTAACCATCCCAGAAAAGCGATGCACCTTAAAAACCAATCTTTTCACTTACCCTACAGCATGCACACCATTTCTTAAATCCTTTTAATTCCAGTACATCCAGAACATACATGAATTCTTAGCATATTCATTTAAAGAACAAACTTGAACCAAATTGTTAATTACAACAGAGATCATAACAGAACTCCCTGAACTTCTAGGGAGAGCTATGAGTATGAAATCCAGCCTCTAGATCCTGGTGTATACTGTGTCTATCTTTAACTTGAAAATGATTTGGTTTCACATTCCATTGAAGTCCCACTGGCAGATGCCTTTGGTAAGCTCGCCAATGGCAGGCTTTCACGCGCCTTCCCTCCCCCCTCCCTCTGACTGAGCTTCCGCTGTTACCTCTAATGCTGATTTACTCAGCTGTCTTTTTACCTGTCTCTGCGTGGGTAAAAGGAGATGCTTTCATTGATGGATATTACGGAAACACTTGGAAGCTGAACATCAGCCCGAGGACTCACTGTGCTTCCCCTGCCATCCCCTCCCCCTACTCACTGCCAGAAACCAACTGACTTCCAAACTTGGCTGCCTGAAAAAGAATGTTCTCTGATTGGCATTCCTGGAAGCAGAAAGCAAGGCAGCTCAAGTTTTGTACTGTTACTCAGCATGAACAACTTCCCAGGTACACAAAATACAAATCAGTTTTTTTTTTTTTTTTTCTTAACTTTGAGGAGAACCCAAAAAATATTCTAGGGTATTAAAAATATTTTTATTGTAGGACTGCATTTAAGTTTTAATATCCACATATAATTTTACAGAGAATGGCTATGACTGTAGTAAGAAAGGGAAATGGCAAATTTTTTGTTAAAAGTTGAATGAGTCTTAGTAAATGAGTTGGGATCCGTTAAGAGGAAGAAATCATCGTGCCACCTGCTTGCCAGTGTTTTGGAGGGCAACTGTTCAATCTGTACATTTTCTGTTAGAGAAAAACTTGCTGTAAGAATTGTGGAAAAACTGATTTCAACGGGAGAGGGTGCAAAACCGCTTCTACCTTCCTATTGAAACTTCTTTTTCAGGACTGTCTTGCAAAACTTGAGTGCAGAATGGAAAAGGAAATGAGTGTGTGTGTGTGTGTATGTGTGTGTGTGTGTGTTATACACGTGTATATCTGAAAGAAGAGAAATTGAGTGAATGGAAACAAGGAAAAAGATACATTTCATCAAATAGAGTCTGACACGAATTAACAATAATGGGTCCCTTTAAATCACCATTAATTAACTTGTGTTTAATATTTATTAATATTTAGTGGTAACTGGGGCCAAAAGATCTCCTGCCTCTGAAAATAACCACTTTATGTTCAAAACATGCAATTCTACAGACCACACAACTTCTTCAAAAGCCTAATGAAGGCTTTATAATTTTGGTAATTGGACACATCTCAACCCTAGGCATTTCGGGGTTTCCAAATTTCAGCTAGCTGTGGCTGCCAACTCTAGGCAACTGTCAGCTGGCTGGGCTCAGGGTGGTGGTGTGGCTGCAGCTGCTCCTTGGAACTTACGTGGACATCTCAAAAATATTCAACGGCAAAACGGTGATGCCAGAAAGCAAGCTTTCTGTTTTTGTTTGTTTGCTGATGGTTTTGAATCTTCTATTTTAGGTTATATTTTACCATATCTAGGGCAATACCATTTTGAGAAATGACGAGGGAAAAGTTGATGAATTGGCATCATATTACTAGCCTATTTCAGTGATATTTTCATGCCCCATACAGATTGGTGGCCAACCAGCTTTTAGCCTTTTAGCCTGACTTTGTTACTAGATGTCTTTTAAAAAGATCAAAAGATAGAAACCGAGGAGTAAGAAACTTTCCTTAATTTTGTCCCCAAAGTTGACAGTTTCTTAGGGAAACTGCAGGCTCTATGTAATGCTGACAGACAGGCATTCTGATGACTTCACAAATAAATGGAAAGAAATAACCCAATAGTCCAGAAAGTACACATTTCTGTCCCTGTGTTTCTTTATCCTTCTGTCAAAAACACGCCTTCTCAAGGCTAACAGATGGTGTCAAAACACAAACGAACTAAGAAGGGTGGACAGAGGTGCGGCCATCGATGGTTCACATTCAGCTGCTCTGTTCACCTTTGTTGTATCTCAGAGTGAGCACTAGCACATAACTGATACTCAAAAAATGGTTGTTGAAACTGAGGAACTGCTCATGTACAAATATACATCTTAACCTATGGAAAACGGTTATTTGTTGGCCCACATCTTAGATAAATATGTTTTGTATTTGTCTTGGGAAAAATATGCTTCTTTTCAAGCAATTAACCAAAATATTATATAGAATGTATAGTATGTACCAAGTACCTTTACTGAAGCCAAAAAAACATTATACATCTTATGTATATATGTATGCATGTGTGTGCTTCTAAATATTAACATGGCAAATATTTGTTAAGAGCACTTCTACCAATCTTGGTGGCTTATAAGAAAAATAGAGAAAAAAATGAAATGTTTAGGTTTGCTAATATTTCCCAGTAATGAGTAAACTATAACAATTTTCCTTATTGAACTGTTACTGGCCACTCCTTATAGTGCAACATTCATCAATCAAATATCTCCTAAGATTCCCAACTTTATCTCTGCTGCTGTTTCCAGAAATCTCAGAACACTCTGCAACAGGAATAGGAGCATTAGTCCAGATGCAAGTGTGAGTGAGCACAATCAATTTTTTCCTTCCTTTTTCCCCCAACCTTCACAAGGCCATTGATAAGATTTATAATGGCTAGAACTCAGTCTTTATCGTGAGTAAATGTTTTTCTCTTTCATAAGCACTAACATGAGAGTCAGGATTAGATCAGAAAAACAGCTTCTAGGGCTTGCTTCCAAAGAAAACTGGGCATGTAACAGGCAAATCAGATACCCTTGATTTATCATGAACAAGAAGTTAATCTCTCCTCCATTCTCCAGAAATAGATTCTATTAGCACAGTTCTGTGGATGGCAAATGCTGGTAGCAGGCTCCTTGCAGGGGTGACCAAGGTGTTCAAACACAGGTCTTAGCTGATCTGTGAGACATCCATGTGTATGAAGAACATGGTCACTGAAAAGCAAATGACCTCTGTTATTTTTTTCCTCCGTAATAAATATCCTTAAGAGACTAGGACAGGCAATATTCTCATGGTGATAGTTTTATAGCTGATATTTTTGTCATATCACTTATTTTTAAAAGCATATACTTTTTATGCAAAAATAATTTGGAGTATAATTGTGATTTTTGTTAAAAGAGAAAACATCAGTACATCCAAGTCATTTAAAAGTAATTAAAATAGACACTGTCCAAGAAAAAGTGGAAAAACTATACATAAACTGCATTAGAAAACAGGGGCTCTACAAACAAATATGGAAGATTCAAAGCAGCAGCATGCTATATATTATCTTATTAAATGCCAATCAACTTAAAAATATACCCAGCAATCTCTCTTATGGGTATATACCCAAAGGAAATACACCAACTCCTAAAGGTATCTGCACTTCCATGCTCATCGCAGCATTATTCACAATAACCAAGATGTGGGAACAACCAAAGTGTTCATTGACAGAGAAAAGAAACTGATACACACATGCAGAATCTTATCCAGCCCCCCAAAAAGAGATCCTGCCATTTGCCATAACATGGATAAACTTGGGGGACATTATGCCAAGTGAAATAAGCCAAGCACAGAAAGACAAATCCTGCATGATCTCACTTATATGTGTAATCTTTTAAAAACATCAAATATATAGAAATAGAGTAAAGCAATATTTACCAGGAGCAGGCAGAAATGGGAAGATATAGATCAAAAGGTACAAAAAGAGAGTTATATAGTATGAATAAGTGTAGCGATTTAGCATACAGTATGCTAAGGCGCAATCTCGGCTCACTGCAAGCTCCGCCTCCTGGGTTCACATCATTCTCCTGCCTCAGCCTCCTGGGTAGCTGGAACTACAGGCACCTGCCACCATGCCCGGCTAATTTTTTGTATTTTTTAGTGGAGACGGGGTTTCACCGTGTTAGCCAGGATGGTCTTGATCTCCTGACCTCGTGATCCACCCGCGTTGGCCTCCCAAAGTGGATTATTAGGTACTCTTAACACACACACATGTGCGCATACACACGCATGAAAGTAACTATAGGAAACAACGGAATATTAATTTGTTTAACTGTAGTAATCACCTCACTATATATATCAAAATGAGTATATCAAAACATCATGTATACCTTACACACATACATTTTAAAAACAAAGAAAACCACAGCAGCATGCTATATATAATCCTATTAAATGCCAATAAACTTAAACATTGGTTGAAATGGACACCTGTTATATATGCCTATCACATGAAAATAACTGTAATCATGCAAAGGCCTGTATGTACAAATATACTAATTACAAAAGATACTTAGTATTATATATATAGTTAGTAGAGTATTATAAATATAATTCATATAGTATTAATATAAAATATAATGAGTATATTTGATAGCAAATAATGGGGAACAATGATAGGTTTTTTTTTTTTTTTTTTTTTTTTGAGACGGAGTCTCGCTTTGTCACCCAGGCTGGAGTGCAGTGGCGTGATCTCGGCTCACTGTAAACTCTGCCTCCTGGGTTCACACCATTCTCCTGCCTCAGCCTCCTGAGTAGCTGGGACTAGAGGCGCCCGCCACCTCGCCCGGCTAATTTTTCGTATTTTTAGTAGAGATGGGGTTTCACCGTGTTAGCCAGGATGGTCTCCACCTCCTGATCTTGTGATCCACCTGCCTCGGCCTCCCAAAGTGCTGGGATTACAGGCCTGAGGCACTGAGCCCGACCTAACAATGATAGTTTTGATAAAAAACAGAATGGTATAGGCTAATGCTTACTTAGGTTAAAAATCAGCTTGTATGTGTACGTGCACCATGATTTCAACTCTATTAGAACACCTGTAGGCACCGGAGAGGAACATAAAGTCTGAAAAATTCCTATCAAAATGATTGTGGATCCTTTATGAAAAATCTTAATTCACTTTTTGTAAATTTTCTGTAATGACATTATTTTACCTTCATAATCTACACACACACACACACACACACACACACACACACACTATAATATTCAAGTAGAAATAATTGCAGCATTTTCTCATTCCTCACCCTCTTCCTCATCTTTGAAGAGGCATTTCTAGTTCTCTGGATCTTCATTGCAGGAGCTTATGGGGGAGAGGAGCATAAGGGGATGAAGGTGCTCTTTAATGTCTAAAGAGACATAGAAGAAGATTAATGGGACTTATGTTGGTTTTAAGAAAGGGAAAGGAGGGAAATACCCAAGAAAAAGAACACTCTTAAGACAGTGAGAATGAGAGAAGAGCAGGCAGGAAACAGAATCTGGCACACTATAGGTAGGGGTTGGGGGCAGACTGTAAGTCGGGTTGGGGAGTAGCTACTTCAATGAGGCAGACTTTGAGGAGATCAAGATCTCAAAAAGAGGTTTAGGATATTTGACCCTAGGATATCTGTCTGAGTGTTTTGTGATTTCTTCTCATAAAACATTTGAGAGGTTTTACTTTTAAGATATGGTAGTACCAAGCTTGTGTGTCTTTGGGACACTTCATGATATAGACATGAATCTTAAATCTATAGATATATTTGGTTACATAAACATTTTTGAAAAGTTGGCGCCAATTGTTGGGTTGTAGTGGTTGTTACAACTGGTTTTCTTCAATAGGGTAAGAAATCAGTTTTACTCTTGTCTATACAAACTTTCTGGATCATTTTCTTCTACTTGCATTTCCTTTCCTGTGTCTCTCTCAGTTCCCATGATGGGTATCTATTACAGTCTCTTGGACTGACTGCTGAATGTAAAGTGGCCAGCCATTCTGTTTTGTCCGAGCCTGAGGGATTTCCTGGGATACAGGATTTTCAGCCCTGAAACTAGGATAGTCCCAGACAAACCAGAGTTGGTCATCCTATATATGTGATCTGGAAGTTTTAAAGTTATAAGTATGCTTTTGATAAAGATTAGCCTTTTTATTAATTAGAAAGTGTTTGGCCCAAGTAGATCAAAACTCTGAAAATAAAAATTTCATTTGGTCTTTATCCCTTGTTAGCTGCACAACCTGGGAGAGGTCCACCACCAAGGGTCACTATTTCTTCATCCCTACAATGAGAATAATAATACTTCAAAGAGTTGTTGTCAACTTCAAATGAGATATGCATATAAGTTCAGAATACATAAAATGTGTAAATCTATCCTTTATAGCAAATATATTTTATATAAACTTTGTATTAGATTACATATATTTTTCAAAGCAGATTTTAATTACTTTATATTGAGAAATAATGGAAGCATAAAGAACAGGCACAGCATTTCACACTATGTGGAGTGCAGAGGAGAACAAAGAGAATGAAAGAGACAGACTGACTGACTAAGGACGTACATTTTTTCAGGAGTGTCTGTTTTAGCATTTGATTTTCTCCTAGATTAAACTCACCAAGTTAAGGATGTTTTGTCTTTAAGTGGTTATAAAACCCCAGTAACAACCAATAAAACATGCTTGCAAAACATATGGGTTATCTTCAGTATAAAAGAAATAAAGATTTTTAGCCTGTGCAATATAGTGAGACCCCATCTCTACCAAAAAAAAAAAAAAAAAAAAAAAAAAAAAATTAGCCAGGCATGACCCTCCCAAGTAGGGAATCTGAGATGGAAGGATCACTTGAGCCCAGGAGTTTGAAGCTGCAGTGAGCTGTGATTACACCACTCCAGGTGTCTGGGTGTCACTCCAGGTCTAGGTGACAGAGAAAGACCTTGTCTCCAAAAAATAAAAAATTAAAATAAAAACTAAAGATTTTGTTGTATTTTTTTTCTATACCTTGGGGTGGGGATACTTTTCCTTTGTGGAACCAAAGGCAGCTCTAATTGGAGCACAATCATAAATATATCCATCACTCAGTGAAACCAGAATGTTCAACTTCATCCCAGGGACAGAGGACCACCTCTATTGGGTTACTTATTTGAACTCTGCCAGCATATACTGTGTGTGATACTGCTTAAGAAGTGAGGGTAAAATTTGGTTTTGGAGCAAAATGAAAATATACTTAATGTCATCATTTAAAACATGCAAATTTTCATAATCAAATGTCTAATCCATATTTGAAATCCAAGTGAAAACTGGTTCTAATTCAAGTTTTTTAAAAGATCTATCCAGGGTTAGAAATAGGACAATTCTGAACATGACAGGTGATAACCAAACTGGATGGAGTTTGGTAGTTTGAGTCAGCATATTCATTTGTGTTCTGGAGGCTGGAAAGTCCAAGACGGGTGGCTGCATCTGGTGAGGAACTCATGCTGCTTCGTAACAGGGTGGGAAGGTGAGAGGGGAATGTGGACCCACCCACCCACACACACACACACACACACACACACACACACACACACACACATAAACCAACAGGAGAGGCAGCTTTACTTTGTAACAACCTCGAAGTAACTAAGAATTCACTCCCATAAGAAAGGCATTGCTCCCTCTTAATGACCTAATAATCTACCCTTGGAGGCCCCATGTCCCAACACCACCACATTGGTAACCAAGCCTCAACATGAGTTTTGGTGGGGACAAATCATATTCGAACCACAGCAATTTGGGAATGGTTTTTCTCCAAATAAGTATACTACTATCAGTGTTTTTCAAACTTGCTGTTGTTTTCCATGGAACCTTTTCTTCAAAGGAAATAGTTCACTGAAACATTACAATGACAAGGCATAGCTCCTTTAGCAGTAACAGGTGTAAAGCCTGTGGCCCCATTTATTCAGCCCCCTCCTCCACGAGACAATCCCTGTGGGGACTCCAGGAGCCCTCCATGAACCTGGGAAGCACTGCTTGAAAACCACAGAGCTCTAGTATTCATGGCATTCATATTCTTTACAAACAATTAGCTTTTTCATATTAATAAAAATTCATGTACATATTCTTAAAAACCACACATAAAACTGTAGAGCTTAAAAGAATTTCCTATCCACTTCTCTATACCTTTGAAGTCCAGAGGCAACCATCTTCATCTAACTGTTCATTATGATGATAATTCCATATTCCCACATAATACTCATATACGTACTTTCTGATTTTCATATGTTGATATTATCTGTTGGCCTCCTACTATGAGAGATAAGGATTCTATATAGGATATTATACATAATACTTCCTCCAGTGTGTGTGTGTCCTCTCTTCCTATCTCTCTGTCTTCTTTCCTGCCTCCCTGTCACATTTTCTCATTCTCATACCACACACATGAGCACACATATGCTTCCCTTAGCTTAATCTTCCCAATTTAACCACACAACAATCTTAGATAAAGCACTAATTAGTGTTTACATTATTTTAACTTGTATATATCATCCACATGTAAGCCACATGGGAATTTATGATTATATTTCTTTTACACATTTTTCTTTTTCTTCTTTTTCCTGACATTAGTTGTGTCATATTTTGTTTTCTTAATTTTTCATCTGCCCATCTTATATTTTCTCAAATTCTCCAATAGAAATGCAACACTCCTCTTAATACAGTCAAATATGTTAGTTATTTTTTTCTTTTTTTTTTTTTTAAGTACCCTCATGCTTTTTGTGGCAAGATTCTACTGAGCTGTCACCCTAGGACCGCTCTTTGCCTCTCTGTAGTTTGGGTCCCGTTCCCTGAGTTCTTTGTTTTTCTTTCTTGATGGACTCCTTCACGGGTGGGTGGGTGAGCATGCAGGAGCTTCCTGAGAAAGATGTTTGGGACAAATACATTTTTGGAGAACTTAGGTGTTTGAAAATATTTCTTTATTCTCTTCTTACATTAATTGTTTCTTTGACTTTATACATAATTCATTGTTTAGAAATACTTTTTCCTCAGAAATTTCAAGGGATTTCTT